ACAGAACACGGAATAAAAAAGATTAAAAATCATTTCATCGTCTGCAAGGTCAACGATGTTCATGAACATAGGATGATAGGAAATGGAACTAACATTCATTGTAATAAAGTTTTGGTTTGAGTGTAATTGGTGAGGATTTCAAGATATAGCTGTATCTATACATAAAGCTCACATTTACACTAGCGCCGCTTAGTGAGGGAATTCCTTATTTACTTTTGCACCATCACCATTTGGAATGCTTTGATCATCTTATTTATAATGCCGGTAACAGATGCTTCTTAGAAGTCCTGAACCTAGTTTTATGAATTACACCTGATTTTATGACGATCGTATCATGAATTCATACTGATGACAGATTTACAAATGTTTTCGAAAAAGCCTCATAGGGGAAATGGATGTAATGCGGCCTAAATGCCCCTATTTTGGGCCTATACATAAATTCAGCTATCGACTAAATTTTCAATAGCTTACCCCGACACATTTCAAACTGTAACAGCTTCTGTAATATCTCATAATTTAATGAAAACTGTATATTTTTCACTGTAAGTACATGGAACAGACATGTGTTTTCCTTATACTAACTTTACTTTTACATGATAAATTATATGATAAATTCCGTTAACAAAATTTAACAAATGCAGACCCCCGTTTTGCGCAACGTTTGTTTTTGTTGTTCATTTTGATGTTTCACTTGTTCACAATGTGTTTTACAACACAAACTATACTATAGCAAAGAACTCTGCATCATTATTTATTTATTCAAGAGTTGATTGTTTCAATAATCTAAAGAGTGGTCGTCTTACCCCGTCTTCCCCTATATGTTTCCTGCTGGTGTTTGTTCTCTGGGACGCCGCTCCCAGGAGGAGGTCTTTTTAAAAAGACGTTCCGCGGTGGCCACGCTGGCACGAGCAAAAATTTTCAAAGGGGTTGCATTAACAATCAGTTAATTCAGGCAGCAATGAATTGATTTAATGAACCCTTAAAGTGATTTGTGCTTTCCTACTAAATTAAATATTCTTTGTCTCTTTTCTCAAACCCTCTGATAGACCATGCCCGTTTCACAATTGATTTGCATGGAGAGTCAGCTCACACGAGGTGAAATTTGTCACTTCTCTAGTGACAGTGAGTCTCCTAACTTCACACGCCACGCAGAATAGGCCTATAGAACCACACTGAAATGCACTAAATTCCATCATCGAATGCTAGTAGCGCAGTGTACGACGTCTACTGCCTCCAGGGTCTGATGCAAACCAGTGCTGTGAAGAGCTCTAAGTCTTTATTTGTGGATGATTCACCCGGATCAAGTTGTTACAAAGCGGTCTTACTAATTCTTGAAACCAATACTGGATACGATCTTGCCGTTTCTATTTCGCTACCAGTGACATTTGAATCATCTCTGGATAATTGCAGTTGACTTTCGTCGGACTGACTATAATCTGTTAAATGAAAGTTCGATCAGCCGGTTTTGCTCTACTCAGGGCATGACATTTCCATGCGTGTTTTGACTAGCTTTCACTTCCATTTGTAGAATGTGTACTTAAATCTTAAATTTTACACTTCGTGTGTTAAAATGTTCGAAAATCACTATCTTGTTGATCGTCAGATTCTCGAGAAGGTTTTTGTCAAAATATATTCCTTGACAGTGAGAAATAAGTCTGGTGCAATAACAGGTTTACTAGAAAATTTTCCATCGGTCAAATTGAATTGAAAATTCACCAAATGGTACATAATCTAAAAACAATTACGGCACGTGCTTCTACAAGAACTTTCAAGTTAATTCACTTTAAAAGGCGATATTTACTTAAATAATATCATTTGCACCAGTCCATTTAAGTGAAACGAATTATGTTAAACAATACTTGTATTGCTTTTAAAGGTGCTTAGGGTTGATGCATATATTATGTCACGATCTAGGGGTGCGAGGGGGTCTAAGATTTTGTGACAAGCAATGCATTAGGTATAGGAAAAACGTCAAGATGGAGGGGGGGGGGGGGTAAATTTCTCCTCGATTTAGCGTGACATAATTAATGCATGGGCCCTTTCTTGTAGAGTTCACAAATGGCCACCACGTAGGCTATACATGCAGTTCAACTTCGAATTTTTAATTACACATATTTCGAAAATCAGTGCTTTATTTGACCAGAAATTGCTACTTCATGTATGCTGCAAATAATCGATACCATAACCGAAACATTGAAATACTTGAACAATTTAAGATAAAGTATAATAGTCAAAAATGCATGACATATGTACATCAATTTTGCGTAGTTCTACGTCATTCTACGGTCGTGTATAGGACACAACTCTTTAATTTTTTTACATGTTTACCATAGCGACAATGACAAATGACTTTGGGGTATTCTTCAAAACATCACGAACTACTTCGATAGAGCAGTCGCTTGACATTCTACATCGTTCAGCGGCGCCGGTGGTGTAGAGGTGAGCGTGATTACCTCTCACATAAAAAAAAAGGCCTGGGTTCAATCCCAGTCGGCGATTGAGTCACAGGGAAGTAAAGCCGTTGGTCCCCGGTTCATGAGTTGATGGGTCGATAGGTAGGGTCCAGGTGTGGGAGCTGCCTTACTGGCGTCGGTAGCATTGGTGCTCAGCACGGAAAACAAGATCGACGGAAAACAAATCAAGGGAAAAAAATACATCTTTAATACTGTTAATTATATAAGTACGGAAAGTAAAATTTAATTACCGTCAGTACTACTTCAAAACGCATTAATTACTTTAAGTACCTTTGATTACATTCTAACTTCAACGCACCGATTCGTTGTATTGCGTGCCCCTCGCTTGTTCATCTCCTTTTCTGCTTCTAATGTTGCCAAAAACGGAAAAGCAAAACCACCCAACAGGGGCAGTAAAGTGAGGGGACCCAACGTTGAATATTATCATATTCACCATACCCAACAGTAACTAACTTGCTTTTGGATAGAAAGCGAATTGAACACAAGTAGGTAAATGAAAACAACTTTGCCCACTTCAGTGTTCATTCGGTTGTCGACAGAAGCGGGCCCCTCTCGATATATGTCACGCGATCGGCAGCAACCATGGTATGGTATTCCTCATTGTTCTTCATCAGCAGTTGTTTCGGTCGATGCGTCATCAACTTTGGAAAGCGACCGTCTAGTGATGAGTGTGTGAGTGATGACCACGTTTTGCAACCATTGCTACAATGGAAGCACTCTGCCTCCCGTTTGCGATACTGCCATCCAATAAAAACACTGGAAGCGGCTCCCGTTCTGCTGTAGGAGGCTTATTGGATAGTGGAAGAGGCAGTGTTTATTGTGTTGTACCTTTTGGCTCTAGTTTTACGATGTTTTGTATAGTGAACAAAAATCCTCGGCTCTGTAACGTTAATTCGATTGAGCCTAATCAAAAAATCAATGAACAAAAAAAAAACTTTGAACCGCTTTACCTACTTTTGGCTTCCTGCCAGTGATGGAAAAGTTCTTGAAAACTTACTATGACTCGCGAACTTTTCCCTTGGCGCACTTTGTTAAATATCGCGAACTTTTCCAACACTGTAATTCACATTATTCACGCTGCATTTGTTTGTACTGCAGCAATGTAAGCAAAAACAAAACAAAAACGTAGTACACTAGGGTAAATGTGCCAGTTTTTGGTCCTATTTTAGATTTCACCACTTACTCGATACAAGAGTAGAGTAGGGTAGCCTGGTTTTTTGTCACCAAAACGCTTCGTTGAATGTATCCAAACCTGGGTATTGCACACTGAGTAAAGTTTTCACTTAGTTTCTATTAGGAACGCACGTAGTATTTTTCCAAAAACAAAAACAATGATGTTTACCTGAATATCACATAGCATTAGAAATTCTATATGAGAAATCACATAGATTTCATTTGACACATAACGTTCATGTGATTTAGTGGTTTTCCAATTATGGGATCACATGAAAGTTATGTGAAATTCACATGGATATTTTCCACTGGTTGTGTGATTTATTTTATGAGTGCAGAGTGGATCGATTTCATTTTGCAAGCCAATGGAAAACTGCTTGAAAATGTTCCAAAGTTTAAAATTGTTTTGCTCTCTCTCAGATGATTCCCGCCAAAAGCTCTGAGTCAGGAGTGCTCGAGCCGCCTTGACTCTATCAAAGTTAGTTTACATGCATGTTTCACCAAAGTATTGTTTACTCCAATTGAAAACATAGCTGAGTCATAAAAACTAGGCTGGTTTCTATGGTTTCATCACTGAGCCTTTTGGTTTTTGTCTTTGAGCTTAAAATTGAGAATGTGTTATGAAAAATAAGTTTTTACAATGTTTCAAGATAGATACGAACAGTAACTGCATTTTTTTCTTTGGATTTGTCTTTTCAGACAGGCTAAGACCATGGCTGGCAGTAACTGCATTTGTTGTTCTGATTGTTCCCGCTTGACAGTTCACACTGGCTCCCAAGTGACAAGTACATTGAGTGAGTCCGTAGTGCCCAGATCCAAACGAATCTTCAGTCCTTCAGCTTCAATCTGATTAGATGTTTGCGACTGAGAATTCGCATTTTACCAGGTCTTTTACGCACTACAAAATGCTGCTGATTTCTATCTGCCGATGTCAGACATGCAGTTCAAATGGAAAGGTTGCCATTGCGCGTTACCCATAGAAGCGCGGACGCTGCGTAGATTAACAAGAATACGTCAATTCCCCTATATGGTTTGTAACGTAATTAAAATCATGCAAAATTACTTCAGGTTGCATTTAGACCCTAGAGCCGAAAACTGGAGCAATAGTGCCTAAACAGGCTCCACTACCCTATTCTAATCATTTTCATCGACAGTGAACTATGAGTTTATTTGTAATAAATAGTCAGTTAGCCTATTTAGAACAAATCTCATCACATGAACCATGACAAAAGTAAACAAAAACAAAAACAAAAAAGATCGAATACAGTGATAATGAAAATCCTACATCAATCAGCAACCCAGCCACCATGCAACATACTAAACGCGAATAAGCGGCGGCATTTGATTAGTTATTAGATCGACACCAAGCAGAGTGCATCACGCACCTTGTTTTTTCCTTCTCTGTTGCACCGGTGTTAAGCACATGAGTTTCATGTGTTCATGAAGCACCATTACCACTATGATATACAGAGCAGAAGCTGCTCTAAGTTAATCATTTTATCTACAGATAGAAACCCACCTGCGAGGGTTTCTTGTAGCTTAGTAGCGGTCGGGCGGTCGACGTCTAAGCTAAAGTTCTAAGAACATATGTGGTAGCGCACAAGGATCAGTCGATTTAGATTCAGATAAGTAGTGAACCGTTGTGAGTTTCGCAATTTCGTCAACCGAAACCATGTGGATCCTGTTGCCACTGTTGGCGGTGGTATGTGCGGTGCTGGCAATCTACCGGAAGTTCGCCAGAACTTTAGAAATGTCAAAGCAGTTCCCTGGACCACCGGCCCTACCCATTCTTGGAAATGGACTGTGGTTCCTCAACAAACAACCCGACGGTCAGTGTGGTGATGAATGATTATTTATTAAAACTGTGCCAAAACTTGGGTGAATGAGGGCATGTAGTTAAATCTAAAACGTGTAAATAGGGATAGTTATAAGTTGTGCGACAGACGGCTGTTCCCGAACAACCATTTGGTAATTGTTTTTATTTGCTATTACATTTGAAGCAGCCCAGTGGCAGGTGCGTAGGCAACAAGTTGTACCGTGACAGCGGGCCCAGCACAGCAAAATAAATAATTTGAGCTCGGGACATGCTGCCTACTGTCAAACGCTGCTGTTGGTATAGACCTTGTCACTGGCCTGATTTGAAGTGATCCAGTTTAGTTGCTGTTCGACTTTCAGTTTTCATATACATTTATATAATGTTGTTCACGTTAGTGTTGCGTTAAAGTTCATGTGAACTTGGTCACTGTTTGAATTTGCATTGTTGGCTACATTAAAACTAACATAAAACTAATTAGCCTTCTACTTACCTACATTTATTAACACTGTAAACTGTGGAGGAAGGAAGGGGTTGTCAGTGGGCATTGGTGGAAGAGGGATTTGAAAAGTTTGTGATTTAAATTGAAAGTCGATGAAGAGAATCGATCAAAGGACCTTCTGAAATGTTCATTTAGTATTGAGGGGTTTAGAAGGAAAGGGGTGTAAGTGATTTTGATTGATTCCCTTAATCGACTTTCTCTTTCGTTAATAATTCAGCTGCAAACAGATTCCTTGATTCGTGTGCCATTCTGGATGCTAGATGAGAACTTCATTTATCAAACTATGTGGCAGAAATAGCGCAAAATCTGTTTATAAAGCTGTGGCTATCAAAAGAGCAAGTCGATGAAGAGAATCAATCAAAGTCACTTACACCCTTTTCCTGGATAAAAATAATGTGATGCAGAATGCACGGAATTACACTTTTTGATACCAGGTGAATCTTTGTCATTGACGAAAAAATGAATGAGATTTAGACGAAAGTTTATGTGAAAGTCAATTCTTCCAGTGAAAATGTCAACACTGGTGCTGAGTATAATTATTTGCTCCACGTATAACCAACTTAGTCATTCTCTCGTATTTACACTCGAAGTCATTCTGTCACATTTCAAAACCAGTCTCATAGCTTTATTTTGAATAATTTACATTCACTTTCGTTGGTGTTTGTTCACACGGAACAACACTGATGGGTAGTGCTATAATTGCCATATACACTAAGATCTTACTTTCGAATGTCAGATACAGTGTAATCCACATGATCATGATGTAATCACACCACCACGCGGTGCGGAGACACTCGGTTGTCAAAAAAATCCAACTATTGCTGTCAAAAACAATCCAACGATTAGGACCAACGCTCAGGTAGGACGGTAGGCAATGTATAGACCGGCAATCGGGCCAAACCGTATAGTGGACCCTACACGACTGTTTGTATTGACAATAACCGTATTCTCAATACATTTTATATTGACGTCAATACATCGGTATTGACAATATTTTTGTATTCACATCATCAATATTATTGTCAATACTTGTAAGTATTGACAATTTTTCTTACCGTGTGGGGTTCGCTTATCGAACGACAACGGCCAACGATGCGTGAACTTTGCAGTCTCTCGGGGTATGATAGTCCGGAGTACCTTTTTCCCCCGCAAGGATATCCACAAAGCCACCTGGAGATCACCTGACCAACATACAGAAAACCAAATCGATCACGTTCTAATTGACGGGAAATTCTTCTCCGACATCATCAACGTCCGCACGTACCGCAGTACGAACATAGATTCGGACCTCTACCTAGCCCAAAACTCTCGACGGTGCATAACGCCAAGGACTACGCGCAGCAGCTGGAAGTTGCACTACCCACGGAAGAGCAGCTTGGCGCAGCTTCTCTTGAAGATGGCTGGAGGGCCGTTCCTCCATAGGTAGTACTGCTGCAGCGGCACTAGGTAATACGATCCTGGACCGAAGAAATGACTGGTTTTACGGCGAATGCAAACTGTTAGTAGAGGAGAAGAATGCAGCACGGGCGAGAATGCTGCACGAGATAGATTGTGGAGCGAAACAGACAAGCGCGGAAGAGAAGAAAAAACTCGGTTTTCCGAAGGAAAAAGCATTAGCACGAAGACCGAGATCGCGAGGCGATGGAAAATCTGTACCGCGTAAACGACACATGAAAGTTCTACGAGAAGCTAAATAGTTCGCGCAAAGGCTATGGCCGCAAGCCGATATGTGCATGGAATTGGACGGTAACCTTCTCACGAACGAGTGTGAAGTGACTGAGAGGTGGAAGCAGTACTATGACAAGCACCTCAACGGTGATGCAACAGAAAATGAAAGTGGCACGGCAACATACCTTGGAGCACGCGCAGAAGACGACAGGCTACCGGCCCCTGATCTTCAAGAAGTTGAGGAGGAGTTCGGTCGGCAGAAGAACAACAAAGCAACTGGTGTAGATCAACTACCAAGTGAGCGCTGCACTGGGTAATTGCCACGATTTGGGAGGAGGAAATATTACCGGAGGAGTGGATGGAAGGTGTCGTATGCCCAATCTACAAAAAGGGTGACAAGTTGGATTGCTGCAACTACCGCGCGATCACACTGCTGAGAGCCGCCTACAAGGTACTCTCCCAAATTCTATGCCGCCGCCTGTCACCATTTGCAAGCGAGTTCTTGGGTCAATACCAGGCGGGATTCAGGGGCACCCGCGCTAACACGAACCAAATTTTCGCGATTCGGCAGGTTCTGCAGAAATGCCGCGAATACAACGTGCCCACACATCATTTGTTCATCGATTTCAAATCCGCATACGACACAATCTATCGAGATCAGCTATGGCAGATTATGCACGAGTACGGATTTCCGGATAAACTGACGCGATTGGTCAAGGTGACGATGGATCGAGTGATGGGCATTGTTCGAGTATCGGGGACACTCTCGAGTCCCTTTGAAACTCGAAGGAGGAGAAGAAGAAGAAGCATGCTGGACGTAAGCAAACCACGTAAACGGGATTTTTTTTTGATTGCAGTTTGTTATTTGAATAATCTCTGATTCAGCTGGCATAGTGAAAAAAATCAGTTGAAGGTCTTCTGAATAATTAATTAATCGGAGATCTTGTAAAAATACCCAAGAGGTTTTAAAATTCTCCGAAGTTCAATGATCGTCTCTATCGCATAAACCTAAAAACAATGTGGGAGCACTTTGAAGAAGTACCTTGAATCGTGGGGAAATATCGAGAGCTTCGGAGAAACGGGTTATGAATATCAGGAAAACCGCGGGAGCTTAAGGAAAGTTCCGTGAATCTTAAGGAAGTTCAAACAACTTTAATTTATTGAGAATTTAAAAGAACTGCTGGGGGAGTAAAGATATCTTTTGGAAAGTCCCGACTAGTGGGAAAGTTTAAAGATCTTCAAGATAATATTCGGACAAATTCGTAGAATTCAAGAAAATGTTGAAAATTTCTTCGAAGATCTAGAGTAGTTTTTAGGAGAACTTCAGAGTAATTCTGACGAGAAATTCGTTCTGAGGAGAACTTCAGAGTAGTTCTGAGGAGAAGTTCAAAGTAGTTCTGACGAGAGCTTCAAAGTAGTTCTGAGGAGAACTTCAGTGAAATTCTGAGGAGAATTTCAGAGTAGTTCTGATGAGAACTTCAGAGTATTTCTGTGGAGAGTTTCAGAGTAGTTCTGAGGAGAGTGTCAGAGTAGTTCTGAGGAGACCTTCAGAGTAGTGCTGAAGAGAAATTTCAGGGAAGTCCCGAAAACTCCAGAGAAGTTCCATTTGTTTCAGGATAATTTCGGGAAATTTATTAAATTCCCCGGGAGCACCCGGAACATGTATGGCCTGTGTGATCCTGGGTACTTAATATGGTTACCAATGTTCTTATTTTTGAATTAACATGTAATTTGATGTGTCGCATGTGGGCGTTGGTTCGAGATGAATCTAACCAGTTCCCCGAGAGTCCCCGAAATATGTCCGGATGCATGGTTCTGATTACATACTACCCAAGCAACACACATGTTCTATAACAGTTTATATAACCTTTGTATGACTTGTTTTGGCTGTACAGAAGTTTAATCAACATAAATCTATGAATTTGTGTTACTTGGGTACGACCTTGGATGATTATTTAGTTCACGTCTTGAAGGTTCTGGTTAACTCAAAATTACAAAAAATACAGCTGAAAATGTTGAGCACTTCTCAGGCTACCGCTCAACCGCATCGCGTTTTTCCAAAATGTTGAAAAAAAAAAGCGTTTTAGTACAATGTCGCTTTCGCCGTAACGCGCTCATTGTGGGTTGTCAAACGGATTTCAGTGTATTGGGAAATTTGTGATTGGCGCTATGCCGCTATCATTGTGTTCAGCCCTTTATCTGGATGAACAGGAAAGACAACTCTGTCTCTTTCATCCTGATCAGTAATGTTTTCATGTTAAAGTTGTGAGATTTAACATTTTGCAGTCGTTCTTAATCAATATCCAAATAATAAGAATATCTTAGCACAGTGAAATATCGACTGCAGTTCAATTATTACATAAAACACGGGGTCAAATGTAATTGAAGGCTTCATATAAGACCAAGGTTAGGGACTCATACCCTACATGTGAAATAATCGTAGACTTTATGACTCTGTTTGGATATTTTTCGTTGCTTAGGGCGTTGTTTCAGTCATGGATGATTTAGTAGATCAGTTGATCTGAACTTCAAAACGATTTGGAGATCCTAGCACAGCGTAACGTACATGAAAATGGATCGCGAATGATACGTACAGACTCTACAAATTTGCTTGAGCATGCTTCGATGCTATTGAAATTTTCACAATAGTAGTTAAACTTTTGATGTGAACTCCAGGACGATTTGAAGAAACTAATAGATCGAATATTCTAAACTTCAGGATGATTTGAAGCAGACAATTTATAAACAAAGGAATAAGATCGAAATTGATGCGCATAGGCTCCATGAATATGTTTGGATATTTTATGATGCTAATAATATTGTGCAAGCCCTGGTTCATCAAGTAGATCATATGATCTGAACTCTTGAACGATTTAGAAGACTAAGAATATTTTATGGCCATGAAAATGGATATAGAATGATAAATCTAGATTTTATGAAAATGACTAAGTTAAGTACAAAGCCATAGGGAAGACCAGTGCCCAGATGATTTTACCGATATAACCAATAATAAGCACTCCATGATAATTTTGATGGCCTAGGGCATCCCATAATAAATTGTTTGCTAATATTTTGCTTTTGACTTAGGTTAGGACCACGTCTGTGATTGCTATATGGGGGTACACTTTGTGAAAACCGAAAATGGAACATGTAACAAAATTATGAAAGATTTTGCTGCCCCTGGACCAATTTAAACAATTTCATCTCCAATCGATCAGATATATTTTTACGCATCTGCTAAAATTAAGAATTCATTTTTCAAAATCAAACTATTGAAAATTGTATGAGTGTGCAACTGTTTCTTTGATAATCAAAATTATCACCGATTGCCTGAAAAAAAAAGCGATTTCTCTAACACAGATTTCAAAGTTGAATTCCATCCGGTCTCACCAAAAGATGTTTATTCAATCATCGTGTGGTGAGTGGTGGTGTTCTCCAGTACACAACGAAAGGCTCCCCGCAAGTAGCGAGCTGCAGCTCACATGAGCATCCATAGAAAGAAGCTTCACCGTTAATAATCGGAATCAGTAGCTCTTCGTGAGTCGTTGTAGGCCATCTATTTCATGCGCGTCATATTAAAGAGTATAAACAAAGAGAAACCCGCTCAAATTCCAATTCCTACACAAAACACAAGCTCCAGTTGCTGTAGTTAACAAATAAGATTTATTATATAAGACCACGTATTCCTACGTCACCATTGCGTACAACCCCATAGGGCTGTCCCTTGTAGTTTTTTGACGTAGGACTACGTCTGTGATTTCTATATGGGAGTACACTTTGTGAAAACCGAAAATGGATTATTTAACAAAATTATGAACGATTTTGCACGTTTATAACTCAGCTTCCCCTGGACCAATTTCAATAATTTTATCACCAATCGATCATAAATTCCACGCATCATCCGAGTGATGATGTGATGATTTTCAACAATAAACTATTTAAAAACTGGTAAATGTCAAGCATTGTCCAAAAGCGTCGAAATAACTAACAAATCCACCAATTACGTACATGCTGCTTCCCCAACACTGTCATCAGAGAGTCGTTAGTAGACGAAACAAGTCGAAGTGGCATTCGCCTCCGATCTTCGCTCACTTATCGCCATATTCAGAACCACATTCGTTAGGGGCAACCACATAAAATGCTCTCCAGACTTGTAATCTTGTAACCAAACTTGTTGGAAGCAAGGATGCAAGAGATTTGGATCGATTCTCTTCATCGACTTTCTGTTTCGTTAATAACTCGACGACAACCACAATCATTGAAACGTTTGTTGTTCTGGATGATAGAAGAGCATAGCAGAAATAGTGCGAAATAGGTTAGTGAAGCCATGGTCATCAAAAGAGGAAATTGATGAAGAGAATTGGCTTTCACAGCCCCTTAATTCAGTCGTAGTCATAGCATTGAAAACTAGCATTGCACCGCTTTTGGTTCTTGGGTTACACTTGCTGGTTACAATTCGGCTGTTCGACATTTCCGAAGGACCACCAACATGAAATTTCACTATTTTCTAGGGATATCTAAAAGTCCAATTATTTGATTAACGATTAACCGTAAAGATTTTTCCAGCTATTCGATTTATCGAATTTTCAATTATTCGAGCGCGTAACCGACATCCCTTCTTATTTCTACTCGTTTTATTTAGCACAGTAGAGAAAATAAATAAAAGTACTAATTTATCTGAACAGGCATAGGGAAGAACCATAACGTGCAATAGGATCATAAATTCGCCGAAAAAAGTGCTAAGTGTCTTTTTACTAAAGGCTAAGATTTACCAACTTGTTGAGAGAAGGAGTTTTACGAGAAAAACTAAAAAGGCGAGGAGCTTTAGCTGGGTGGACACTGATAGTCTGTCGCAGACACCAGTTCAACCTCTGTCCAGCAGCAGACGGGCCGAGACTCTTGCGAGTGCCAAATCATTGAACAGAAGAATATGGGATTGTCCGGTCCGACTTGCTGATCCAGCAGCCTACACGTCATCATCATCTGTCAAAGGATTTAAGCCTGTACTACCATCGGCCCTTTTTCAGGGCCATCAAGATTTTCCAAAAGAGTTAAATTTCTGAACATGTCACAACTAAAATTCGTATCAAAAGTTTCTGTTCAGGGCAATCATAGTCATACTAAAGAGTATGAACAGAAAGAATTCCTATTCCTATACAAAACACAAGCTCCTACTGCTCCTACTTGAAAATTATGTTCTCTCTAACACCTCCGGGATTTTCTGAGGCATAAATTCTCTGATCACGCCTTCCTTCGGAAGGGAAGTAAAGCCGTTGGTCCCCGGTTCATGAGTTGATGGGTCGATAGGTAGGGTCCAGATGTGGGAGATGCCTCCCTGGCGTCGGTAGCATTGGTGATCAGCACGGAAAACAAGATCGACGGATAACAAATCAAGGAAAAATATATATGCAAAGAAAAAAGATGTTCCAAAAGGGTTAAAATCAATAAAAAAAATCAATTTTTTTCACGCTTTCGATATACTTTCAGAATTCCTGCCAATCATCCAGTCTCTCATCGATGAGTACGGCGATGTACTGCGTTTTTGGCAAGGCCCTCAGTTCACAATGTACGTCGGTAAACCTACGATGATTGAGGTAAGCCATCATCATCATCATAACTCAACAACATCCGATTGATGATTTATCTGACATGCACATTGCAGAGCATCCTTACCAACAAGCATTTGACCGATAAATCCGATGAATACAGCTTCCTCTCCAACTGGCTCGGCGACGGGCTGTTGTTGAGTAAACGACATAAATGGCACGCCCGGCGGAAAGCAATCACCCCGGCGTTCCATTTCAAGGTCCTCGAACAATTCGTTGACGTGTTCGATCGGAACGCGACTGAACTGGTGGATGTCTTAGGTCGGCATGCCGACAGTGGGGAAACCTTCGATATGTTCCCATACGTGTTGCTGTACGCTCTGGATGTGATTTGTGGTAAGTGTGATTTCAGTGACCAAACCTCGATAATGCTGGTAAACTCCTCAATATTTCAGAAAGCGCTATGGGAACTTCAGTGAACGCTCTGCGGAATTCAGATTCGGAGTACGTTCGGGCAGTCAAGGAAGCAGCAAACATATCCATTCGACGGATGTTTGATATCATCCGTCGAACTCCTTTGTTCTACCTCACTCCAAGCTACCAAAGACTGAGAAAAGTTCTAAAAGTGCTCCATGGTTACACGGACAATGTGATAGTAGCCCGTAAGAAAAAGTTGAAGGACCAGGTGAAGCATGAGGACAACTCAACAAGCGACGACTTGGAATTAGGTTCGAGGAAAAAGGAAGCCTTCCTTGATATGCTGCTTCGAACCAAAATAAACGGCAAACCTTTGACCAATCTGGAAATCCGGGAGGAAGTGGACACTTTTATGTTTGAGGGTCATGACACAACCACCTCGGCAGTGGTGTTCACGCTGTTCAGCCTTGCCAAGCATCCTGCCATCCAGCAGAAAGTGTACGAAGAGATAATATGCATCGTCGGGAAGGATCCTCGGGAACGGATCGAACTGTCCCACTTACACGAACTAAGTTACCTGGAAATGGTCATCAAGGAAACGCTTCGACTGTTTCCATCCGTACCACTGATTGGTCGAAGGTGCGTCGAAGAGGTCACCATCGAGGGCAAGACTATACCTGCCGGAGCGAACATTATCGTCGGTATCTACTATATGGGACGGGATCCAAATTATTTCGAAAAGCCGCTGGAGTTCATTCCGGAACGGTTCGAAGGGGAGAAATCGGTGGAGAAATTCAACCCATATAAGTACATTCCATTTAGTGCTGGACCACGAAATTGTATTGGTGAGTATGTGCATAACACAAAGCGAGGTATACATGATTAAGCAACTTAACAAACATTGAATGCTGTATAGCGAATAATATACGCTAAGGGGTGTTGCATTCGATAAAAATGACACACACGTACACAGCTGTAACTTTCTAACTATTATGATTTAATTTTACTTAATGTTGATTGAAGTAATACGAGCTACTATCTATTCATTATAAACATATTCATAGAAGAACGTACGAGTACTGCATATAAATGGTTTGAAAGCTATTTGTCTGACAGAACTCAACGGACTGTTTTTAATGATTTTGTTTCCAGTCCCGTGGGGAACAACCTTGGAGTGCCCCAGGGAAGTGTATTAGGGCCCCTTTTATTTATTATGTATATTAATGACTTGCGACGTATTTTACGGTTTTGCGACATTAATCTTTTTGCAGATGATACTGTGTTATTCAATGCAGCTAAGGATTTCGAAGTTACCATCTCACACTTGAATGAAGATTTGCAGTATCTTAGTAGATGGAAATACAAGTAAAACTAAATTTATGGTGATTTCGCGGAATCGATTAAATGAGAACGTCTCTGTTGTAATTGATGATGAGGCTATTGATTGCGTTCAGGAGATTAAATATCTTGGCGTGATTATTGATGACAAACTTAAGTTCAACTCTCACATTGACAATGTCATCAAGAAAATTGTCAAGAAGTATGGAATTCTATGTCGATTGAAAAACGATTTAATTATTGCCAGTAAAATACAGCTATACAAATCAATCATCTCTCCTCATCTAGATTTTAGCCCTTTCATTTTATTTCTGGCCAATGCAACACAAATATTGAGATTACAGCGCTTGCAGAATAAAATAATGCGTTTGATTTTGAGATGTAATAGATTCACTTCCTCAACTTTGATGCTAGACGCCTTACAATGGTTGTCGGTGAAGCAAAGAATTGTATATTTGACTATGGTGTTCATTTTTAAAGTAGTTAACGGTTTGCTGCCTTGATATTTGTGTGATCCTATTGAAAGAGGAAGTGACTATCATAGATATAATACTAGAAACGTGGTTGAAATAAGAACACCACATTTCTTGACTTGTGCTTCACAGAAATCATTATTTTTTAAAGGAATAAATGTTTTCAATTCGATGCCTAGACACATTAAATGTTCAACAACATTAGCAGAATTTAAGAAATATTGCATTTCACACGTTAAAACTGTCTTTTGAACGGTTATCCAGTGGTTTCTTTTATGAATTCACAAATTATGTATCTTGACGAAGTTATTTTTAACGGATTATTCACTAGCACAAGAGGTAAAGAAACTAGCACAAGCGCCTCTTCTTCATCCGACGACGAATCCATTGCTCACGATCGCTACGACGCTCCGGTGTGGGTACCCACGCGAATTTAGTTACCGCGGTTAACGCGATGTATTCGCTACCACTGACGCGGCGTAAAAAAGTGTGCTAGTTTGGAGAACCACTTTTACGGATCTTCCGGAGAGCGGTCCCATGATCATTCGAGCCCTTGCTTATGTTACGACCCCAAATTATTTCTTATAACACAGTTCCCAGTGTTTAAAAAAAAAAAACCGTTGAACTCTCGGATCAGTTTTATACATTGACCATTTTACGGATGTTCCAGATCTTCCAGGCGCCATCCAGGCCTTTGATTATGTCATGACCTTAATTTTTTTCTTATATCACAGTTCCAAATACTTTCGAAAATACCGTGGAGCTCTATGATCAGTTTTGTGGATTGATCATTTTTAAGGATGTTTCAGATCTTCCGGAGGTCCGGTGGCCTTCTAGGGACATGGTTATGTTACAACCCCCAATTAATTTATGTATGACAGCAAGTATTTTCGGAAAACCGCACAACTCTAGGATCAGTTTCATAGATTGATTACTTTTACGGATGTTCTGGATCTTCCAGAGAACGGTTCGAAGGCCATTTGGGTTCATGTTTATGTAACGATCCCACATTCTATCTTATATCACAGTTCCTAATGTTTAAAAAAACACGGAGCTTTAGGATCAGTTTCGTGGACTGTCTACTTTTACGGATGTTCCGGATCTTCCGGAGGACGGTCCCATGGCCATCAGGGTCCATGTTTATGTCACGACCCAATTTTTTTCTTATCTTATCACAGTTCTTAATGTTTTCGAAAAAAAAAACTCAAATTCATTCTATCATCACAGTTCCTATTGCTTTTCAAAAACTGCGCAGCTCTAGGATAAGTTTCATGAATTGAGCACTTTTATGAATGTTCCGGATCTTCCGGAGGACCGTTCCATTGTCTCCTGGATCCATATGTAGGAACCATGACTGTATTCTGGCTAGTTATGAACATGTGTGTCCAAAAATCTAAATTATAGATCTTAAGCCACTTGCAAAACCCATAAACACACCTTTAAAAAAACGTGTAACGACTCTTTTAATGTAGACAGCCCTATTTTCAATATTTTTACAATCAAAATAATCTACAGACCATAGGCATTTTAGAGGTATCACACTTTTTGAAATTCATCAAGAAATGGCTAAATAATGCCATTGCAAACTTGCCGTTACACGCTTTTCGGAGGCTTCGTAGTCGGCTTAAAGTTTTTACCCACCTTATTCGGAGTGTTAATGCGACAGTACCAGTCAAAAGCATACTCCTTTACCTAACTCATACACGAATGGATGAGGCGACTTGAAGTACTTATTCAAATCTACAGCCAAAAAAGTGCGCGTTTTACTTGCTCATCAGCTACGTGGGGCTTTAAGTAGTGATTAATCGTCGCTAAAACTATTACACAGCCGCAGACAATTTATTCAATTTTCACACTGCCTCACAAACTTTGTTCGAAAAATAAACTCACATAAAATTACAAAATGATTTTAAAATATTTAGACGATCACTTTACCGAATCTGTTTATGCGGTGAAACATTACAAAGTATGCATGCTATTTATGCATGTCTGTAATAGAATCTTACATTTCTCCGTTGAGGGTACCCATCATATAGTTCACTCTATGTACCCATCATATTACTCTGCCTAATAGTACCTTCTCCGTCTCCCGCTTTCAGGCCAGAAATTCGCTCTCAACGAAATGAAAAGTGTGATATCGAAGCTTTTGCGTCACTATGAATTCATTCTGCCCCCGGGCAGTGTCAACGAACCTCTGCTAGCATCTGAGTTGATTCTGAAACCACACCATGGAGTTCCACTGCAGATCAGACGCAGAGAGCATCAACACAACTAGGGATGAACACCACCCCTCCACCTCCCACCCATCTCTCCGTAGAAAGGTCATTTACCGCAACGACTGCAGCTGATGAAGCCAAAACGTGTTTAAGTTTTTTACTAAATCCTACATCTCTACTTACCTGCCATGTGATTACAAAACGTTTCAATTGTAGCTTGAATAAAACAAAGCTCACACAAAATCATATTTATTCTCGAATGAACAGAACCGGCTTAAACCGGGTGCGGCACCTGAGAATGACCTTCGCCTTAGAACACATCGACGATGACGCCGCGCCGACGGTGACGACGACCATTGAACTTGACCATGTTAGAAGGTGTTGCTTTTCACTATTCACTTGTTCTCCTCCAACAGCTGAGCTATCTACTTACCTATGTACTACACTCTAGCTAGAAGTGCAAGAGCATTAACAGGTAGGTACACCGTAAGTTCTAAGTTGCATTCAAGCTAGAAGGTAAGTAACCGAACGTTCATTCAACTTGCCGCTGTTCATTTCAGCCGTAGTGTGAGAGCTTTCGTTTACACTGCACTGACTGTTGTCTAGGTTGCAAACCTTAACCTACTGAACGGGTGGAGAAGTCGAGGCAAGGCAATACCGCGGAGGTGTGAATCAAAGTGAATGCAAATCAATCGGATATGTTGTCTGTGGCGACTCGGAAAAGAATGTGTGGTAAACCATTGTGTTGGGAGGTATGTGCAAAACAGTGGGAATTATAATCAATCAAAACCGGTTCGTCCATGTCGTTAAAAAAGACATGAGGAAGATAAAAACAATGTTTTTGCTTGTAAACTGTACTATTTTTATTGTGGTCACCAACGCTAATTACGGTTGTAGAGGTTTCATCGTTTGGTCCGTTGGAAAATTGTGATTTTTTTATCATGATTAGCACATTATAAAGTGGGTACTCTAAACTTAAGAGGGTCGAAGAGGTCTTTAAGCAGAGATTCGAATGTGTTGTATGTGTAACACAAGATGGGAATCAAGTGCCTACACTCATGCTCGGTAACGAAAAAATGTTTACTTAAATTGCATCTTACTGTTTAGCTGCAACCAAGTAACCGATGGAAGCCGCTTCTGCTTATAGTCACATGTAGGTGGCCTCGAAATTTATAGGCTTGACAGTTATTAGGGTGGGTCATCATGATCATTATTTCAGAACAATGTGTTTTTTTGGTTCCACTTAGGGTCCAAACAACTGTGCAAAATTGGGGACGATTGGTTGTAACTCGACTTTGCGTTTGAAATTTGTATGGATTTAGTTTGGGAAAGCCTACTTTTTTGCATCTTTATTCCTATGGACCACAATTTTGCATTAAACTGACCCACAAAAATAAAAGTTCTAATTTTTCACGAGCCAACCTCTAGATTTGTGCCTTTAGGTGAGAAAACCATTCTCTGAAAATTTTAGCTCATTTGGTTGTTGGCTGGCGCTTTTAGTTTGAATTTTGTATGGGGAATTTGGATAAAATACATGAAAAAATTAAACTACTACACTGTATCAATCATAAAAAAGTTTCCTTATTCTCGATTTGATTCAGATTTTCAAAACTTGTAGTTCAGTTTATGAGTAACAACTTTGCTGAAGATTGCGTCATTATTCCAGTTAGTTTTATTGAGATACACGCATTTGAATGTACATGAGCAAATTATTTATATTAAATTTTCAACCAAATCTCCTATATTAACATTAAACCAAAAGCACCAGCCCGCGTAGCGTCAAAAAGAGCTGAAACATTCAGAGAGTGCTTATCTAACCTACTGACACAAGTCTGGATGTTGGCCTGTGGAAAATATGAACTTTTATTATTTTAGTGGTAATCGTACGGGTTAGGCAAAAGATGTGCGTCTAACTTTTAAAAACTGTCGCATTAGTGGCCCTTCGCTCATTTTCAACTTCTATTCAATTTTCATACTGCCGTACTCTAACCGACCTATCCACCTACTCTCTTCTAAAGATCATTCTCTAGCTAATAAATTATCACACTAAAGCTTCATGTTAGCATTTCCAACCAACTCTGAAAATCGCTAACTTCGCGTATGAAGTAACATAAAAACACTTTGAATGTAGTTGATACGTTGTATAAGCTTCCTGCATTTTGTTGCAATATACGAACAAAATGCACATATAAATTCAAGAATTAATATCTTCATAATAGTAACTTGAATCAAGATGCTGTTGTTTCTTATGTTTTAAGCTACATGTGCTGAAAATCTGAGCTTAAAAGAGTTAGCAGAACCAGTTTTATGAACGGTATGAGTGATGGAATGTTATTTCTCCATACATTTCAACCAAAATCCTCATATGAACTTTAAGCCAAAAGCTTTAGCTCGTGTTACATCCGAATGTGCTGTAATTTTTGTTGTTTTCTCACCTAATGGCACAAATTTGGGGGCTGGCCCGTTGAAAAAAATGCATGCATTTAATTATGTAAAAGTATAGTCCAAGAAGTACCTTACAACTTTGCCCAGGGATGTACGGTGCTAGAAAATTTCCTAAAAAAGTTATAGCTGTTCAAAGATCATTGTTTCGAATTAAATGTCAAAAATCATTTTTCCTGCCTACACTGCCGGTGTACCAATAGAGATTGCTGACGTTTATCGTACGCACACTACGTCACGTATACGTATACGCAAAATGTTTTCAAATTTTCGTGATGAAAACAAATAACTGACATAATTACACTTTAGCCATCTTTATAAAAGTCAGACTCAAAACTGAAATAACTGCGGGGTTTCCTATCTTATCGATTTGGTGTATTATTCAAAAACAATTTCTCAATCTTACAGACATTAGTAGAGAGGAGGAGGGGGCTTACTAGAGTGCGGGGGTATCTCCTCACTCATATAAATGGAAGGCAAGCTTCAAACTGAAATGGCTTCGGTGTTTCTGATCTTGCCAAGTTGGTACATTCAGATGTATTCAAAAACATTTAATCCATCTAATAGGCGTAGTTTTTCTTCTGCTTCATTCTATTTGAGCTGTAGTCTGACAGCTCAGTTGTGGGCCAGTATCTAGACTATATGACGATATGACAAGTAGGCGTAGTTGGACGTGGGGGGAGGCTTACTGTATCCCTTCTGCCCCTCAATTATATCGATGAAAGTAAAGATCAGAGTGCCTTCCATTCATTTTGGGTAAAAAAATGTTTTATGAAATTATGGAATAATAAGATATTATGAAAATATTTCGTTTGTGTAAGAAAAGATTGTGAAGTTTGTCTTTGACACATAATACCTGCCAATTTTGCTACATTAGAGTCGCAATAGTCGTCATTTATCTCACCCACTCTTCGCTCTTCACAATTCGCGAAGAGACGATTAGAAAATCGCTCATTTTGGCTCTGTCACAGCTAAATTAGCAGGCTTTATATGTCACACACAAGCATTACTATCTTTTCTTGTTACTTACACATTCAAAAAACCATCATAATATACACTAAAAAATATTACAAAACGAAACAAGATTAAATTTTAAGAATTCTACGATTAACCAATATATATACATTATTCCGATTAAAATTTGCTCTCAAAAGTATGCTAAGTCCGAATAAAGACGGAGAATTTATTCAGTGTATATACCAAGTGCCAAACTCGTCAGAAATCAGAGAAAAAAACAACATAACAAGTCAACTAGCAGCAGCAACGTAACCGGCAACGAAGTGAATCAGACTCGGAATCTAACAGGAGAATGAGCGGATTGGTGGCCATGTATCCCAGCTTCACCGAGATGGACAGTGGGATACATCTTGTTCGAGCATATTTGCATATGGTGGGATCTGGAAGTTTTTTCGACTGACGGCTCTATTCGAAGCGCGACACGTGGAAGTTGTGCTATTCGTTCCAGAATATACAGGACAAACAAGATTTCTATTAAGCTTCACAGAAGTTTATCTCTGATAGGTTTCGGTAGGTTTTATGAATGAGTGTCTGTTGTGGTAAGGTAATTGAGATGATTTTTTGATTTCGTATGTCCAAGGCATCCACGATTAATGCACCCCGCAGTTCTACTAAAACGCATGCTCGCTTAGCTCCACGAAGAAGGCGAGAACAAATTGAAGTTCACCGTGTACCAGATCCTTTACATCTTCCCTTGGTATTGATCTCAACGAGGATCTCATGCTACGTTCAGGCCAGGCCGTGGGGGAATTTCCGTAGATTCGTCAATCTGTGCCGGGAGCTGTGATTGATTAGTTTATTGGTTTACTCTAAAGAAACTGTTTTGTTATGAATAAACTATTTTTCATGACTAGCTTTTATTTTATATGTAAACAAAAATTAAGACCACGCACTAAAAAAGAAGCCATAAAAGCATTCTGAATAAACCGTACGTATGCATTTCAGGTATATTTCTATTTATGCTATGTCACGTATAAACCATTTTTATACTAAGTGAGCATTCTTTCTCTTTATATCAAGCTATGCGTCGGTCAGGAGAGTTGCGATTTAGCGTAACTTTTAATCTGTTTAGATTTGAAAATCCTTTGAGTGTATTATTATTCCACAATTTCATAAAACATGTTTTAGCCTAACTGAATGAGAGGTACCCTGCTAAAGATAAAGACCGAAATAACTTCCGAGCTTCCCATCTCTTGAGTTGTTCGGATGGGTTCAAAAACATTTGCTCAATATCATAAGAGCAGTTTGAAAGTGAGTACCCCCACGCCCTTCTCTCCTCTTTTGATGTAATATACAATGTCAGACATATTCACAAAAATGTCATTGGATTGTAATAATTATATTTCAGTTTAATATATTCTACGATTTCTTAGGGTAATCCTTCCGATGCCGTTCGATCACCTGAAGCAAATATTGCTGTTAAACTGGGTTTTGGGTGGATTTCTTGTTGAAGTCGTACATTAGCTTCATCCCTCGTTCAGCCACATCGTTGACAACCATCAAGGAAGCAAATCGTTGTTTTGTATTGAAATAACCCATATCATTACACTACTCGTTTGCCGGTTTTCGCATGAAGTCAGTCGAAAGGAATCAGCACTGTCGGATGTCGTTTTGCAGCCCACTTAAAAATAGCACAACGAGCGAAATCCGACTGTATTATACCTGTGTCCGAGAAGAAAATCGTGAAGACAGTGTTTGTTTTCTCCTGTTTTTGATTTTTGACGTAGGACAGCGTAAAGTAAGCCTCCCCCCCTGATTATGAGATTGAACAATTGTTTTTGTATAATTCATTTGACCATACCAAAACGTTAAGATAAGACACTCTGACCTTATTTCAGTTTGAATCTCTACTTCTATTGATATGAGTGAGGAGGTGGGGGTGTATTAAGCCCCCTCCCCTCTCCAACTACAAATATGAGATAGAGCAATTGGTTTTGAAAATTGATCTGAACATACCAAATCGATAAGATAAGAACTCCGAAATTTTTCAGTTTAAAATCTGACTTTCATTGGTAAAGTTTGGCAGAACTGGTACAATTCAGATGTAAACAAACAAACTTCCCGAATAGAAATTATAATGTAGGAAACATCAGCAGACATTTTCAAAACATTAAATTTTATCCTTTATTTCCGTGTATTCAGACTTCAGTGTGACGTCCAAGTACATAAAAATACATTAGCTTCAAACGTTACATAAGAATCAAACGTCAACCGCAGGACACATACGTTGATATCAGAATCAAACCTTACATAAGAATCTTACTTGATCACAACGTAAAATGTTGCACACCTAAAACATCGGAATGCATCCTATGACAATAGAACCAAACGTTACATTATAATCAAATTTTATCACGATGTAAATTGTTGCACGCATAACATATAAGAATACATCTGCCACGGATACACTTGCATGAAAAACTATGAGCATGAGACTTATTTGTATAAAAAAAACTCATGCTCATCCATGGTGACACTTGTATAGTTTTTGTAAAGTGCTCATCATTATTATACCATTAATGCTCATGTAATGCTATGACACTACATCCACATGAAGGCCGGGCGAAAATGTGACAGTGAGCCGATGAGAAACTGAATCTGTAAAGTTCCTCCTCCGTTTTGACGTAGGACTACGTCTTTAATTTCTATACTGGGGTCACATAAAACAATCGAAATTCAGACATGTAACGAAAAATCCCAAACATGGACGTAACGATAGAGCGCAAATTGAGCACACGAGACATTGCGCATGCTCACATGAGCGAGCTCACCGCTCGGTGGACCGCTCATCATTTCACCAATGAATGGAAGGGAGGAGAAAAGCAGCGATAATAGAAACGCTTGCCAAATCGTTTTCTTCGTCATTCACTTTCGAGCAACGGACGGATAAGCGTCGGACATGACGTATGAGTGGCAGTGCGCAAAACAGTCAGGTTCATTGAGTCATTTTGATATGAATATGAACTGCCATCTGCCTCATCATTCACTGCCTCGTGAGAGTCTGAATGATTCAGAGGTAATGTTGCTGCCAGGAAAGCCAACTGAGCACGCTGTCTCTGGAGATACCCAAGTACACCAGTTTGTTCGCTTGGATCCAAAATGGCAGTTTCATTTGCGACATTTGGTAGGACCTTGAAGGAAGCGGACATCGGAGGCTCTCTGAGCAGCTTCACCATCTTTCGGACGTTCCACTGCAGTCGTTCCGTTAGGCTGACTACAACATTGATCACCTGCAAAATTTCAACCGCTGTGCAATGGTGTAAGCACGCCATCCCGAAAGTACCAGCATGTAAATCTCTTGGATGCCAAATGGCCTTTTTCAGGACCACTATATTTCTACGCTATAGAATTTATTTTAAGATCTGTAGATGATGAGTAAAACAGGTTCACAAAATTGAAATATTTTTGAACCATGGAGAGAAGTAACAGCAAATAATCATCAATCAGTGCCAATAGCAGTGTTCGGAAAATCACTATCAGCTTTGGGTCATTGAGTCTCTGTGAGAGAATAAACTTGCGTAAATCATCCAGCTCTAAACCTTCCCGCAGACGTCAATTGGTTGCACGTTTATGCATTTCGTGTAAGTTATCCATCCACTGAAGTAAATACAACAGCAATATCAACCAATAGCGCCAAAATAAAAGGAGGGCCAAAAGGCAACAGCGATTAGTACCTATTCGTTCCGTACCCTCTAACTCCAACAACCATTTCGATGGACACCAGGAAAATACAAAAAAAAAGGTCCTTTTCAGGGGCACCATTTGAAAAACAAAAGGCCCTTTTCAGGGCCAACAACCAACAAACAAACGGCCCTTTTCAGGGCCACCAATTCAAATACAGATGGAGTTAAGATAATAGATTTTCGAATAATTAAAAGAAATAAGAGCAAACACGTTTGTTCTGAACACTCACGGACTTTGCGCTACATATTCCAGCTCTTAGATGTAAAGTATTCATCACCTATTTTTCTTACCATCAGCCTATACTTACTGATATAGGTAAGTAGTAATATCATCATTCAGAATTTAATGTCACAAACAAACTTTTAAAATTACAGGTATCAATAATCACTATTTTTCATCAGCTAAACGATAGCTGTCCCAAACGATCGAAAGGACACCAGAAAAAAAAAACAACAACAAAAAATAACGGCTCTTCTCTGGGCCACCATGCGAAAAACAACCGGCCACCAATTCAAAAATGGAAAGAGTTAAGATAATAGATTATCGATCAATTAAAAGAACTACGTCAAGCTTTCGTTCGGGCCCTAGACACAGACCCTTCTACTTTTTTTGAATTCCAGCTTGCCCGGGGTCATATTGTAGTCCAAATACGTATCTATACGCATATTGTAGTCGAAATACGTATCTGTCATGGATACCAAAATTAATTAAGTGGAATTAAATGGAAGATAACCTTTTTTGCTGTAGCCACCCGACTGGATAATCGCTGGGGAGCACATGTCCAACTAGTTGGTATCCACACGGGAGACGTACCTTTTGTCCGTTAGAGCATGCTCCGACAGTTTGGCATGTTTTACTTTTTTATCAGCATCGATAATCTCCATGATGTGATCTTTGAGGTACTTGTTGAATACGTCTAGGCAGGCCTTATTGATGGTGATAATCTCTGAGTCCTGATGTCCACCGTATCCAAGCTATTGTCCTTGACGAAGGCTCCTCACCGTCCTTCTCGATCTGCTTCAAGAAGTCAATCATCTTCTTGTTGGCCAGGAGAAAGATGGACAAGAGGAGGCTTTTCGCACAGTACCGTAATCGTATCGGTCAGCTCGTATACCTGCAGCGAGGTGGATTTGCTGTTAATGGTCGCTCACTGGATTTTTTTTTTCTTTGTTGTGTCCTGTTGGAAGGCTGAAACCACTCAAGGTCCATCTCGCCAGCATTCCTCCGTGATTGTCGCTAGACCGATGTGATTGTAAACCAAAACATTCAAGCTATCAGAAATACCGGGTTACCAAATATACCATAATATTCAATCGGCACACCTGCGGCACACTTGCGGCACACTATGAAAAATGAGGACCCAAGATTGGTATGCGGAGTGACCTTCTTCTTCTTCTTCTTCTTCTTCTTCTTCGCATTTCAAGCTTATTGCATATCGCATATTAGCTTATTGCGTGCTCTCAACTTAGTGTTCTAGATGCACTTCCACAGTAATTAATTGAGAGCTTTCGATGCCTGTACCATTTTTGCATTGGTATAATTGTGTGGCAAGTCCAATCATACTTCTATGCCCAGGGAAGTCAAGAAATTTTCCAACCCGAAAAACTCCTAGACCGGACCGGTAATCGTACCCAGCCACCTCCAGAATGGTCTTACTTTGTAGCTGCGCCTTTACCGACTGAGCTAAGAAGGCCCCAAATGATGGTTTTCGTTATAATAAGCAACTTTGCCACGGAAATGCTTCGATTAGCAGTTATAAATTATTTCCCGCTAGATTGCATTTCTGGCCCATAGTGCATTGCTACAGTTGGACTTCAAACAACAGTAAAACTTACATCACCGGTCGGGTCAATGGATAGTTGTTCGGCTCGATTAAAATCTGTTAGACCTGCCTTAACAGTCTCATGCCGAAATATTGATCGGAGTTGACGGTGCTTCTATCTGAAGGTGGTGCTTAAGCCATTTACGTAGAATAGAACGTTGTAGAAGTAGAACGAATGTCGACTCAATGTAACGTCGCCTACCTACCTGTGACGTCCACAAATTTAAGAAAAGACTGTAATATCAAATGGAATTCTTTCGGTCAACTGAAAATGTGTGCCTCGAAGTGAGGATCCAACCGGTGGAACATATCGTTAAAGAAAATCTCTACTGGTGTACTCGTTGTTGTGTGTTGTCCTTTGTCGAGTGTTATGAGTTGTTCAGTTGGTGTCAATCCTGATGTTGACATTATTTTGAATAGCCAGAATTATAATCAGGATCAAGATAATCAATAAACTAACCATTTTTCAAACAAGAACATCAGTAATTTCAATTTAATTTCAGATTTCAATAATTTAGCTACATAAAAATACAAAATATAATCACAATATGCGCGTAATTAATCCTCCCTCAATCTCTATTCCTTTTCTTAAGGCTCAGCATAATTCCATAGGTGGGCCTCAGAATCATTTCCCCAATGAACGATTCCTCTTGTCCCTCGACCGGTGGCAACAGCTCGAAGTGTCTCAGCACCTTGCTGGCAACACTTTTCAGCTCTGCCATCGCAAACTTCTGTCCGATGCAGTTTCTCGGCCCAGCACTGAACGGAATGTACCGGTAGGGATTGACTTTCTCCGACGAAGTTTCCGCCTCGAAACGTTCCGGTCGAAATTCCAGCGGGTCATCGAAATACTCCGGATCACGGCCCATGAACATGGGCATCAGGATCAGGTTCGTTCCAGCCGGGATGACTTTACCTTCTGTAAATAAGAACATATCTGAATCTGTTGTCAACGTTGTTTCTACCAACATGCTTTACCGATTTCGCTGTTCTCCAATATCTTCCTGCCGAAGAACGGTACCGAAGGATACAGCCGTAGGGTTTCCTTGATCACCAGCTCCAGGTAGTGCAGTTCATTTAACTTGGAAAGCGTAAATGGCTCGTTCACATCTTCCCCAATAACGACTGTCAATTCATCGTAGACCTTCCGCTGTATCTCCGGGTGCTTAGCTAGTCGGTACATCAAGAAACTGATGGCCGACGTAGTCGTATCGTGCCCTTCGAACATGAACGTATCGACTTCCTCGCGGATTTCAACGTCAGTTAGGGGACGTCCATCGACCGTAGCTTGCAGTAGCATATCCAGGAAGGCAACCTTCCTACGAATTCCCAAATCGTTGGTGGCATCATCACTGGTTTTTGTGTCATTGGTTTCGGCAAGCTCACGCCTTCTGGATTGGATGACACTGTTGGTGTAGCCGTGCAGGATTTCCAACGCCTTGTCTTGCCTCTTTCGGAACGATAAAAGATTAAACAGGAAATCGTAACGCGCGAGCAAGTCGTACGTTCGAATGTGGATGATCGTTGTGATTCTGGAATGGTGAAGATTTATGAAAGAAATTCGAAATTCATATGCATCCTAGATAACTTACTCCTTAACGGCTTGAACGTATTCCGAATCGGCGTGGATTTGTGCATTCACCTTTGTTCCCATAGCAGACTCTGAAACGTGATCGGAAATCAAATCAGCCGCTCTTCAACTGAAGATTGAACCTTACCACAAATCACATCCAAAGCGCACAGCGTGATCAGGGGAAAGATATCGAAAGTCTCCCCACTTTTCACCTTCGGTAGCAACTGATCAATGAGGATGTTGCTCTGGCTATCGAAGATTTCTACAAATTGTTCCAAAATTTTAAAATGGAACGTAGGAGTAATGATCTTTCGATGGGAGTGCCATTTTCGATTGCTGCTCGTTAGCAGTCCGTTTCCCAGCCATGGACGGATGAAATTGTATTCGTCAGACTTGTCAATGAACTTGGGACTGCTCAGGATGCCCTGAAATAAACAAAATCAAGCACGTTTAGAAGATCGTATCATGCGTTTCAATAGATTGACGGTAAGTTTCAAAATTTTAGAGGTCTTAAAATTATTCTCGAAAAACCGAAGTCCAGGGTAATCAATCTGAGATCTAAAAAAATTTCAAGCGTTGGATCTCTCATTATTGCAAGACTGTGATTTCCAAATCAATTCGGTCTAATGGCATTTGGCCTATGGCTCAAAAGTGTCAAAACATAGGTTCAATTTGAAAATATTTTTTTTTTTGAATTCATGATCGAAAGTATTCAGCAAAACTGAAAATTTAGATTGAGTTTTTTTACTTCTCGGGGGAAAAGCTGTATTTTTGTTTAACAATATTTGTCATAACTTGGCTATTAATGGGTTCAAACTATCAATTTGCAACAATGTAATGCTTACGTATTATTGTAATAATTGAGAAGGCTTATCGCTGACGCGAAGGTGCCCCTCTGTTATGTGTCTTATCATCAAGGAACTTCGGAAACCAGCAATGCCATTGAACAACGCAACGTAATCTTTCTGTGCCTCTGTGTCACTGTCACAGTCACAACAATACGCAACCATCTATTTTGTTGCTATTATTGATATTGTAATCATTTTCGCACAAGCAAATGTAAACAAACCTTCGCGTCTCGTCAGTAGTATAAGGGTCATTTCAAGCTCGTTTCATAGGCAACTGATTCATCCACCTGTACCTCGAGCATCTGACTAATTGCGGCGCAGTTGATGATGCTAGACGCATCAAACCGCTTCAGTCCAGTATCATGTTGCAGCTAGGTACACATTCATTCAAGTACAAATGGACTAGTTGAGAAGTTTAGTTTTTTTTTCTCGCAATGCGAATCGCGCAAAATCCTCGTGTAGTTAATTACCTCGGCGACCTTTGCGTCCGTTACGACGATCAGCAGTTCCGGGCCCAACCACAGACGGAAACATTTCCCAGCTTCATGCACGGTTCGTTCGATGGCGAGGAAGAATTCTAAAAAAAGATCAGTGAAAAGTGAAATTAACAAACGCACAATTTTTGGATGGACAGTGGTAGAATTGAAGGATTACTTCAAGGCTCATATTGCTATGTTGAGGCTATCACAGGAACTCAGATTTGAAACAACTTCGGCCTAAAGTATATACTTAGTAAAGATAACAGAATATAGATGGAACGGAAAAATAAGAGAAAATATCTTTCAATACTAAGTTTAAGCGACAGGCCCTAAATAAAAGTGGCCTTTTATCCCAGCTATTGCACTGTACGAAAACATCCGCAATACTTCGAACTATTATTGTATTGTTGGCGCCTTTAACCATATGCTTTCGAATATCGGATGATTGCCTTATGATTGAATTCGACATCAGCTGAAGAGCATCCACATGACTGCCATCCAAATAAAGGCTGACAATTAACTGAAAGTAGGCTGTAAAACATACAGCGCTCAGACGGCACCAATTTAAGAATAGGATGATTTGCAAATGCTTTAAATAGATTTATAATTCGATTGTTTACATTTCATTATTGAATAGCCATGAACAGCAATTCCATCATGGATACAAAAATCACACCACGACATAGACAATCTTCGGTTTCCACGTTTTACCAATATTTGTAGCACCTCTAAGAGCGAAGATTATGTTTCCATCTCGTTTGTCAGCTCAGATCAGCAAATGACGTTTTGGAAGATCAGTATTATGGGGCTGAACCTGAGTTTGGGATGACAATAATTCTATCACAGAATCAAAACATCCGCCGCCCGTTGAATAAAATGTCATTCAGCGTCAAGCAAAACTAATGATTCCTGAGATTGAATGACAAACACGGCGAATGCTTTTATGATTTACAATAAGTGATTTTTGTTTACATTTCAAAACATTTTTTTCTATGTCGTCCGATAATCAGTCACATATGAAGGTCTGTACTATATCCATAATAATCGGAACACATCAAATCTTAAGTAAAACACAAATTTCGCATTTTATTTCAATTGCAGTTGTTTATTTCAGATTCATGGGCTATGATTAAAAAATTCACAAAGTCAAAACATAACTATTCGGTATTTGCCTCGGTATTTGCATAAAATTTTTGAATTTTGCGCTTAACTCTATCCATTAGGGTTTGTACAGACTCTTCAGATACCATGGTGACCGTCTTTGTCCAAATTTGTTGGAAGTGTCTGATATCTTTGATTCCCTTGTTTTTGAAATTTTGAAAATTTTGACTTTGGAAGTATTACTGCTCCTAAAATTGAATTTTTACCGAAACCATTAATTGACATGATAACTGATATGCTTAAAACAAACTCCATGTTTGATGCTATTCAAACTGGAGTTAAATTTGCGAACAATATTATCATGACTTTCAAATTCAGTAATGCATTTTAAATCATTCAATATTGTAAATTGGAATGCTCGATCTCTTAAAGATAATAACGTGCATATTGCTGTTATAGCTGAAACGTTCCTTAAACCTGACCATAACGTTAAAAGGGACGTAAATTATTTTATTTATAGAAATGCTCGTCTTGATGGAGTCTGTAGTGGCGTTGGACAACTTACGTTTATAGCTGCCAATTTGCCATTCCAATGCGTAGGCCAGCAAAAGAATTTTCTCAAGGGTGACCTCCAGAAACTTACCCGTCATAGGTCTAAATTCTTCATTATTGGTGATTTTAATGCAAAACACCGCTCATGGAATAATGCTCAAAGCAATTCCAATGGTAATATTCTGTTTTATGATTGTTCTGCAGGTTATTACACTATTAAATATCCAAACAGCCCAACATGCTTTTCTTCAGCAAGAAATCCCTCAACTATTGATTTGGTCTTAACTGATTCAAATCAACTTTGTAGCCATTTGGTTCCAGTAACTTTTGAAATATCCCAAGAAATAATTTCTAATACCAACAGCTCTACTTAAAATTACCATAGAGCTGATTGGGAGCAATATCGAACATTTCGGAATAATAGCCTCGATCCAAACATACCTTTGCAAACCAAAGATGAAATTAATTATGCTCTTGAATCTCTGGCTACTTCTATAGTTGAAGCAAGAGCTGTCTCAGCACCAAAATGTGAGGTAAAGTTCGATTCAATTATAATAGACGACGATCTTCAGCTCTTGATCCATCTTAAAAATGTCCGTAGGAGACAATATCAAAGAACACGTGATCCTGCCATGAAAGTTATCTGGCGGGATTTGAAAAAAAAAAACAAATTAAAAAAGCGATTATCTGCCCTGAGGAACAAAAATTTTGAAAATAATGTTTCTACATTAGACCCGAGTTCCAAACCCTTTTGGAAACTCACAAAATTTTTGCAAAAAAAAACCCTCAAAAGCCTATTTCAGCGCTTACAGAAGGTAGTAAAATTTTGATCACAAATTCGGAAAAAAGCTCAGTGATTATGGAATTTTCTATATCCTCATAAAAAAATTCTCAGAGAGTACCTTGTCTTTCTTGGTAAAATTATTTAACCGATGTTTCCATTTAGTATACTTTCCTGAAAAATGGAAAAATGCAAAAAATGTTCCAATTTTGAAACCGGATAAAAATCCAGCTGAAGCTTCCAGCTACCGTGCAATAAGTTTGTTTTCTTCAATAAGTAAACTTTTCGAAAAGATAATTTTAAACAGAATCAATACGTAATCAATTTTTGCAGATGATCAGTTTGGACTTCGCGATGGGTATTCAACTACTCATTAACTTCTTAGAGTTACCAATTTAATTCGTTCAAACAAATCTGAAAGCTGCTCAACTGGGGTTTCTCTAAATACTAGACATAGAAAAAGCATTCGATTTCTCTTGAAACATTGCTTTTAGCGATGAAAAAATTTCTATATTTTGTTCTTTATTGTAATAGCGAAATTATGTAGAAATAATAGATTGAATATATTGCACAATTATTGATATTTTTTAGTTTTGAGCGAATTTCGTCATGTATTTTCATGTTGATTTCCACCAACTCATACGATCGAAGCCGGCTTGCACCCTGGCGATGAGCGCTGTCAGCAGCAGTACAAAACATCTAATTGTACACATTGTAAACCAAGGACACTGTGCGAAAAGGAAATATTCGTTCCAATCACGCTTGAATTAGATTCATTTGAACATAACTGTGGCAACAACAGCCCCTATCATAAAATAACATACATACCATAAAATAGAATACGTGAAGTCAAGCATATCGTGACTGATTGTTGTACAGTAATTACCTGATTTTGTCACTCATCACTATTTTATCATTCAATAATTAACGGTAACCGTAATTCCAAATCATTCATTTTCAAGATGGGATGTATACTCGCTATTTCAAAACTACCCAAATTTGGGAAGAATCCACCCAGATCGGTCAAAACTGAACCTACCCAAAAATGTGTAAACTGTGTTAGGAGAGACAAGTTGACAAATGAACAACGTCGATACGAATACGATCTACGTTATTCATTTGTCAACTTGTCACTCCCAACACAGTTTACCCATTTTTTGGGTAGGTTCAGTTTTGAATGATCTGGGTGGATTCTACCCAAATTTATGTAGTTTTGAATATAAAAAAATACTTTGGCTAAGGCACCACACGCTATTTCAAAACTACCCAAATTCGGGTACAATCCACCCAGATCGGTCAAAACTGAACCTACCCAAAAATGGGTAAACTGTGTTGGGAGTGACAAGTTTACAAATGAACAACGTTGATCCTATTCGTATCAATGTTGTTCATTTGTCAACTTGTCACTCCCAACACAGTTTACCCATGTTTGGGTAGGTTCAGTTTTGACCGATCTGGGTGGATTGTACCCAAATTTTGGTAGTTTTGAAATAGCGTGCACTTTAAAAGTAAACCCTACACGGTAACCGCAAAATATCCAATAATGACTACCAAGTAAGCATTTTCGAGGGAGACTGGGACTACCCATTAAATCAGTAAAAATATTACCCATTTATGAGTATTTGTTACTCAAAAATGAATACTTACTACATGTTTTTGTAGTTGTAATTACTGATAAATGGGCAAAAATTTTCTCATTTAATGGGTAAACCCAGTTTTCTTCGAAAATGCTTACTTTGTAGTCATTATTGGGTATTTTGCGGTTACCGTGTACTAGAGGGCTTAATGTAAAAGCGGTTCGTCAAAACCGGACTGCACGCTCGTCTGATTTTACTCTAAAGTGAGTAACTTTTACTCTGTTTCATATTTGTAAGCTAAATGTCAAAAGCTAAGTAGCATCAATTTAGCAAAGTTGAATTTTATTTACTTAATTAAATGAATATAGAACTTTACTGTTTTGAGTAAGATCAAATGTAACAAACGTCCGCGAAATTTTGAAGACCTAGAAATTCTCCCAAAGTGTTCAAAGAAAGAAAGATTCTGCGTTCAGTTCTGGTCTGGACTAGTAACTGGCACAAGAAGTAATTGGTGTTTTTTCTGAGATAAACTTGATTTCCGCCCAAATTTACCCAAATCACATTTTTCTGAACCTCTGCAGCAACTTTTGGTTGTGAACTTCAGAATCAAAATCTCGATCCCAAGTAAGTTTAATGAGAAAATCGGAAAATTTAATAATAATCATAAAAGTTATTTATATTCTGAAAAAATACTGAGTTACTGATACGTAAGTTGTGCCAGGAAGCAGCTGTAGGTGACAACAAAAGTGGGAAAATCACTTAATAAGCAGAGTTATTATCAATATGTCAATGAGTTTTTTTTTTTTTATAAATGAATATTTTTAATAGTTCTGTTGAAATAAAACTAATTGATTTTAGTTTGCTGCAAAAATCTTGAGTAACTTTTACTCAGTTGATCTTATATTGCAAAAATCGACAATGACTAAATTCATCACAGATTTTTAAAAATTGCATACATTACTCAAAAGTGAGTTAACAGAAGGCTACTCCCTTTAGGGTAGTTCCACTTTTAACGAAAGTGAGTGGAATTTTACTCACTACATTCTTATGGCGGTATGCTTTAACTCGGATTAACTTTTAATACCAC